TTTTTTTTTCCTTTTACCAGGCCTCTTTCCCCTAATCCCTTTTTAAATTTTTAAAATTTATTTTAATTGTAAATAATACGTAAAAATAATAACAGCCAACATTGTCTCAGAACTTAGCAGCCTAGGTTCTAAGACTGTTATGTGTCTGTCTTACAACCATTCTATGAGGCTGATTACTATAATTAGCTACATTTTACAGGTGACAAAGTCAAAGCAGAGGGGTTAAGGAAATTGTCTAAGGTCACACAGAAGCAAAAAGAAGCTAATGAAGCTTAGGCTTCAGGGTCAGTACCTCTCTTACACCGGCTGTTGGAAGACTTTGTACTTTTATCCATTTTCAGTAGTCCTTTTCTTAAAGAAGGCAATAAAAACTGGATGCAGCCATAGAAGGACATGTCAGTGCGCTGTTTTCTCGCAGATACTTTAAAAATACATTTACATCACAAATACATGCATAAACAGATGGCTTAAAAAAATACTCGGAGTCCTATTGTGTGTATGGCTGGCACCCAGCTCTTTTAACAACGTCTTGACTGTCCTTCCGCGTTTTTAATCATTGTGGGATGTGCACCACAGATGCACACGTTTATTTACCTACCTTCCTTGAGTTGAGCCCTCCACGTCCCTTCACCTCCAGCTCTGCTTCCTCCCCCGGATTTGGCGTTTTCTCCTTTCTCCCCGCCCCCACCTTGTTTCCCTCCTTTCGTGGCCCTTTCCCCTCTATCCTCACTCCTCGTCCACAGCCTATTTTTTTCTGCCTCTCCGTTTCTCCTCTCCCTGCCACCCCACCCTGTCCTTCACTGCCCACCCCGTTTGCCCCCTTACTGCCCCTCTCTTCCACCCCCGCTTTCTCCAGGCCTGCTGCGTTACCCTAACTCAGTCCCCCTGTCCTTCCTTGCCCCTCTCTGCACCCTCCCACCCCCCGCTCTCGCCCCTCGGCGGCTGGGATGGAGCTTGCAGCCAGCGGGCTACGACGTGCGCTGACAGTGTAATGAATGGCTTCAGCTGTAATTAGCGACCCCGCGGCTAATCACTATGTACATTTACATTTTAAGTGCTGCAAAGGGAGCAGGAGAAGGGGAGGGGACCAGCAGGAGAGGATGTGGGCCCTTTCCGCGTTCTCCCTTTTCAGACGGAGGAGCTAAATGAACCGCCAGTCTGCTACAGCAGACAGTAGGCGGATAGTGGGGGCAACGGCGCCCTCGAGGGCCAGCCTGTGCCTGAGCATAATCGCTGCATCCTCACCCAGGAAAACCTTGAAGCTCCCAGGCCCCTTCCTCCAAATTACAGATCGTAGCCCTAATAAACCCTTTCAACTAGCGTTGTGCACTGGATTGCACATGCCCCGAGGCCGAAAGCTCGCTCTTCGCCCTACCAGCCAGTTCCAACGTAGCTTCCAGGCTTTCGGGAGCTGTTTCTCCAGCCTAGCCAAAACTGGCGCCCTTTAACATGGCCTGGTGTTACAGAGCCCACGGCTCCCCACACCTGGCCACGTGCCACGGGCAGTCTTTGAGTCTGCCCCGGCGCCGAGGTGCCTCCAGCACCTAAGGCTGTTCTTCAAGATCATTGAGGCGGGACCCAAGTCCCCAGTTCAGAGCAAACACCGAGGACCTAAGATCCCAGCAGGAGTGGAGAGGACAGTCATTCATATCTGGGGGCACACAGGTCCACCCCGAGGAGTGGAAAATAGGTAAACCCTGGGTTCTGAATAGCAGGGGCCAATAGCAGTGGTTACAGATGCACGTGAGGACAGAAAGGAGCGTCCGGCAGCCCTGTCTCAAACTGGATCCCGCAACCCCGGGTTTCCCCGCTCGCCCCAGCTCTCTGTGCCCCACCCCCGGTCACAACTATCCCCACCCGCACCCAATCCCTCAGTTCTGACTGGGCGTGATGGGCGCGAAAGGTTGAAAGACGAGGCCCTAGGGCAGTTTTAGGGAGAGTCGGGCTCCTCAAGTCTCCTCCCTTTCATCAGCAGCCCTTCAACCCAACTTCACCTCTTTCTCTACTGCTCCTCTCATCCAACAGGAGACCCCAGACTACTCATGGTCCTGTGGAGTTTCCGAAGAGGGGCATCCAGTACCTTCGTAATGCCCCCAAGGCTTCATTCAACTCCTCATCTTCCTCCCCTCTTTTAAAACCGGCCTTCACCTTCACCCTTTTTGATAAACAACCCCATTGGATTTCAAAGGGCCAAGGTTCACTGACAGCGAATTCCACCTGGTGGGGGTGAGGGGAGCCCTGCCTGGCTTATCCTAAGTAGGCAGCTCTAATAGCGGACTTTCAAGCCCGGGTAGAGGGAGCATAATGCCTCTGGAGAAGAGGTCTTGTGCGTGAGCTTCCCATTCGCCTCCGGGAATAGCTTGCCCAAAGCCTCACTCCCCTTGTCCCAGGGACGTACGGGCGTCCGCGAACCTCGAGCTCCGAACAGGCGTGGTAAGGCTGAAACCTGAGTCTCTGGAACCCCGCGAGAACCACGTTGCGACGTTGTCGTCCGACTAGAAGCGCAGAATGGAGCTGCAGCTAGCGCCTTCCGCACTCTGCTGACCGTGCACTGGGTGTCCTTGAGGCTGGAATACTCCGGACCGGAACGGGGGTGAGGTAGGGGGAATGTTTTCCTGAGGGGAGGGAGACTGAAGCCCCCAGCAAGCCTCTCGGAAATCTCTCCCTGGGAGGGGACCAGGGTAGCTTTCATTTGGAACAGGGAAGGGCTCGGGGACCTGGCTTGACGTTTGCAAGGCGGCGTCTTGCACCCCAAGCGCAGTTTTTGTTTAGGTTGCCTGCTTATGAGGTTGGCTCGGGGACGGGATTGTACTGGAACTTTACCTTCCAAGCCACCCTCTAGCACTGCTAATGCGCCTAGCCGCGAGCAACGCTCCCACGCTGGGGCAGCTGAAGTCTGAGATTCCACACCAAACGCCAGAGAGGCTGGGACGGGGGCGGACCAAGCCGAGTTATGGGCGGGGTCTGACGGTAGGGGCGGAGCCTCCGGGCTCCCAGGCGGGGCCTCAGTTAACTGCGCTGAGCACAGGGCCCCGAGAGCGCGGAGTAGTGCGGCGCCCGCTCGGGAGAAGTGGAGCTGAGATCGCGCCGTCCCTACCCGCCCACCAGCGTCCACGCCGTTCCCGCACCCTTACCCCTGCTAGTCCTTTCAGGGCGCGACCAGCGGCCATGCAGCCCCGGGGTTGAGGCAGCCCCATGGCAAAGCCGGCGGTCCCGGCGACGACGGCGCATGGAGAACTTCCGTAAGGTGCGCTCCGAGGAGGCGCCGGTGGGGGGCGGGGCCGAGGGGGGCGGCCCGAGCCCCGGCCCCTTTGCGGACCTGGCGCCGGGCGCTGTGCACATGCGAGTCAAGGAGGGCAGCAAGATCCGGAACCTGATGGCCTTCGCCACAGCCAGCATGGCGCAGCCAGCCACGCGCGCCATCGTCTTCAGCGGCTGTGGCCGGGCCACCACCAAAACCGTCACGTGCGCCGAGATCCTCAAGCGCCGCCTGGCGGGCCTGCACCAGGTCACGCGGCTGCGCTACCGGAGCGTGCGCGAGGTGTGGCAGAGCCTCCCGCCTGGGTCCACGCCGGGTCAGACTACTAGTGAGCCGGCCGCCAGTCTCAGTGTACTTAAGAATGTTCCCGGGCTTGCCATTCTACTTTCCAAGGACGCACTGGATCCACGACAACCTGGCTACCAGCCTCCAAATCCTCATCCCAGTCCGTTTTCCCCGTCAACCGCGCCAACGTCCAAGAGGAGCCTAGGGGAGCCTGGAGCTGGAGAAGGCTCTGCGAAGCGGTCGCAGCCTGAGCCAGGAGCTGCGGACGAGGACCAGAAAGCCTGACTGAGAACTCCAGACTCCAGTCTTGGGGTCACCTAGACGGACAGTACCTTACTCCCGGCACCTCCTTCAGACGCACCTCCAGCCTTTCATGAGTTGAGCATCTGGAGCCCACAACCTGGACACAGCTCCTCAGACAGGTAGCATGAACCCCCAGGTGACAAGAGAAGGGCCCCAGGGTCCCCTACAACATGAGGAAGCTTAGTGGGATGGGGACCCCTTACAGCTGTGCTGCATGAAGACGTGGAACACCACCTTCCCCTGTTCTGGGCTATACTGGGAACTTCTCCAGCAAGGGGAGGGTCGGCAACCTGGACTTTGAACCTTATTTGGAACCCTCAAGGGTTAAAGACACTCGTTCTCCTGTAATTTGGCCTGGATCCTGAAGGGGACCTGAATCCAAGAAGTCTGGGAGAGCTCTTTGAATCACTCCCACCACAAAGAGAGGTGGGGCAAGGGGTCTGAGATGTGGGGATCCTATTCTGCCCCCAACCCTGGGACAGTATCCTTTCTAGTTTTCCTTCCCCTGCCTCTGAGGAGCATCCTGAGATTTCAGTGGTAGAGGCATCTCTGGGGGCTCCACCCCTTTTAACATCTCCATTGCCTATGCTGGCTGAGAGAGAGAACCCCAGTATAGAACTCTCCATGTGTCCTCCCCTGAGCCCCGCAGCTGGAATCTTGCTTCCAATAAAACAAACACAAAAATGGCTCTGTCTCCAGGTCTTTTCTTCCTAACCACCTGCCTGTGTAGCTCTGGCCTGCCCCCTTTGTCTCAGTCTCTTCCAGCCTTGCATCCTTTTTGCCTTTTTGGTCTTCAGGATCAGGCACTGATTGGGCAGCTTCAAAATGGTGCAAGGGGCACACTGCCCAGTCTCTGGCTTCTCACTCCCTCCACCACCCTTCCTGGGTGACCCTGGCCTCAGGAGTTTGTGGCCAGAAGAGGGCATATGTCACCTTGTGCATCACTACCAAGGAAAAGAGAGCAGTACTCTTTTCTGGGAGGGGAAGGAAAAGCATTGATGAAGTCTCCCTGAGGTCACTGCCAAGGATGGCAGACCCTGCTGAGGTCCTTAAACCTGCAGCCTGTAGATAATAGACTCAACCTTACCGAGAAAGCTGGCACAAAGTCCCCATCTTCCTGAATAGGATCTCCCCATTCACTGCCCTCTCTCTGAGAAAGGACAGCACACCCTTGGGAGAGGGGGAGGAGAGAGACTGAGCACAAATCCACTGCTAGAAATTACTATTCAGCAGAGAAGCTGGGACTTGGGCTGTGAATCACTGCAGGCTCCCAGATAAGCTGTTGCCTCCAGCCCTGCACAGCTGTCTGTTGAGAGATAACAGCCTTGTAAGCCTTTCTGCCCAACTCTAATAAGTCAGCTGGGGTGGGGGTGGGGGTCTTGTGTGCTAGAAGAGCTCTGGCAAGTAAGGGGGGGGGGGCATATAGCTTCAGGATCTCAGAAGCAGGCCCCATTCCATGCCACTCAACAGCTCCCCTAGAAAGAAAGACACGAGGAAGAATGTAAGTCATTTTGCTGATAGGACCTTGAAACAAATCCTCCTGTTGACAAGAGGTAGGTTTTGCAGAGGTAGGGGCTTTCGAGGGCAATCCCCCTGCCTTCCAATATCTCTGCTTGAGCTTTGGATCAGTGAGCACTATCATCTAGACTTTGTCTCTGATTGTCCTTCCAAATTTCCTGTTCTTGATGAGTCCCTGGAGAGGGCTAAGGGGTTTGTGTGTGCTTGTCTGGCCTTTCAAAGGTGGCCCAAGCCTGGAAAGAACATAAACTGTCCTGACAACTAAAATGTGCCGGACTGCTTCTGGGTTCCAGCATCCGAAGTTCTGCATGGTAGAAGATTAAGGGAGATGGGTCTTGGTTCTGGGAAAGGGCCAACTTTCTAAGACCAGTATTGGTTTAAAGTATTGTCAGTTACCAGGATATGCAGGCAGAGATTACTGGTCTTGTTAGGGAGGTGAGGCTGCAGTGGCTTTCTTTTTTGATGGGTCAGGAAAGTTCCTTTTCCGCCAAGAAACTTAATCCTGTGGGGTGGGAAGAAATCAGGGCTTGTTATTCCCCCAGCTTCTGGGCACTCAACAGCTAGGGCACTGGCCACATATACCGAGGTTGGCAGGTTTGAACCCAGCCCAGGCCACCTAAAACAACAAAAAATAGCCGAGCGTTGTGGCAGGCCCCTGTAGTTCCAGCTACTTGGGAGGCTGAGGCAAGAGAATCGCTTAAGCCCAAGAGTTTGAGCTGTGATGCCAAGGCATTCTACCCGGGCAACAGCTTGAGATTCTGTCTCAAAAAAAAAAAAAAAAAAGAAAGAAAGAAAAGAAAACAGGTCATGAAATGATTTATTTTCTGCATCCCCAACCCAACCCAACAGGTTTGGTTTAGAAAGGTGTGCTGACTTACCAATTTACCAATGGAACCCAGCACCTGTGAGCACCACATCTCTGTCTTACTGGTGCTCAGGCACCAATGACCTAGGAGCAGGTTCCAAAGGAAGGTGACAGATGTTCTCCACCTTTTCCCCATCACTGGGGCTGATGTGGAAACCTGAGCCTAGAATAAGGGGGAGGAGAGCTAGGGAGCATCTCAGAGACAGGGCCCACTACAGGATCCAACTAGTGGCAGAATGGGAGAGCATCCCTGAAAGACCCCATCTTTCCAACAGTGGCCTCAATCCAGGAGCTTCCTGGGCTCAGCCTGTTGCTTGCTTCAGCTTTACCTTGGGACACTTCCACACTAGGAGTGGCAGTGAAGCTTCTTATCCAGAAAACTGTCAAATCACAAAATCTAAGTCCATCTGGGAACATGAAAGTATATAATACAAGGACAGAGCTCCTGGTTAGATGAGTGGTGGGCCTTTATCCATTCAATAAGCATCCATTGTACCAGTCTAGGCATGGGGTGGGATGAGGGTCTAGAATCAAAGAAGAATCAGACTTTGTTCCTGCCTCAAAGATGGTCAAGACTAGTAGAAAGAGAAGTAAGAAGTTATGGCACAATGCGATGATAATGAAAGATGGTGGGAGCTCTGAGAAGGGACATTTAACTTGCCCAGAGGTACTGATGAAGCTGGTTCTCTAAGGATCAGATGGTGTGAACCAGCTGGATGGGACTGGACAAAAAACGGCACAGAGAAACGATGTGTATGGAACAGTATATGGTGTTGAGAACATTGCATGTGTCTGAAATGTAGAGTAGATGGCAGAGGGCAGTATAGAGAAGCAGGTGGACTGGAGTGCCAGGGAGCCAGATCACAGGAAAGTGATGGGGCCCTGTCTGATTGGTGTTTGACAAGGGTCCCTCTGACACCTATGTAGGCAGGAGATAGATTAGAAGGGAGCTGACTGGCCCCTGGAGCCTATAAGGAGTAAGAGATGAAACAATGGCAGTGTGGATGGAGATGGGGACAGATTTGAAAGCTACTCAGGCTAGGTAGGATTTCCCACCATTACAATCAGGAAAGGGGAGGGTTTCTCTTTGAGTATTACCCCTAGCCTGTCCAGGACTTGGTCTGCCTTTCTGGCATCCCAGGAGCTCAGAGAACATGCTAAGTCAGAACCAAAGGAAGATTGTGTTTTGTTTTGTTTTTGAGATAGTCTCACTCTGTAGAGTGCTGTGGCATCACAGCTCATAGCAACCTCCAACTTCTGGGCTTAAGTGATTCTCTTGCCTCAGCCTCCCAAGTAGCTGGGACTACAGGTGCCTGCCACAATGCCCGGCTATTTTTTTGCTGCAGTTGTCATTGTTTAGCTGGCCCTGTCTGGGTTCGAACCCACCAGCCTCACTGTATGTGGCTGGCACCCAAAACCACAGTGCTACCTGCGCCCAGCCATGCCCAGCTATTTTTTTTGTTGTAGTTGCAGGCCCGGCCCAGTTCAAACTCACCAGCCCAGGTGTATGTGGCCAGTGGCCTACCACTTAGCTATGGGGGCCAAGCCGGTAATATCAAATTTCTTCCTCTTATTATTTTTGAGATAGAGTCTTACTATATTGCCCTCGGTAGAGTACTGTGCAGTCACAGCTCACAGCAACCTTAAACTCTTGGGCTCAAGTGATTCTCTTGCCTCAGCTTCCCATGTAGCTGGGACTACAAGTGCCTGCCACAACGCCCAGGTTTTGTTTTTTTTTTTTTTTGAGACAGAGCCTCAAGCTGTTGCCCTGGGTAGAATGCTGTGGCATCATGGCTCACAGCAACTCCAACTCCTGGGCTCAAGTGATTCTCCTACCTCCACCTCTTAAGTAGCTGGGACTACAGGTGCCCACCACAATGCCCGCCTATTTTTTGGTTGCACCCGTCATTGTTGTTTGGTAAGCTGGGCTGGATTTGACCCCGATAGCTCAGGTGTATATGGTTGGCGCCTTAGTCACTTGAGCCACAGGCGCTGAGCCTATTTTTTTTTTTTTTTTTGGTTGTAGTTGTCATTGTTGTTTGGTAGGCCTGGGCTGGATTCGAACCTGCCAGCTCTGGTGTATGTGGCTGGCACCCTAGCCGCTGAGCTACAGGTGCCAAGCCAAATTTCTTCCTTTTAGAGCACAGATACTAGTTTGTAATTGTGCCTTCATTGGTTTGATCCTTTTTTGGTGTCAGTCTGTCAGTCACCCTAATAAACCATGAGACCATTACTGAATGGATCCTGCCTTCCTTGCTCCCTGCCCAGGGCACATAAGAGCTGCTAGAGAATTATCAACTGAATAAAGACTTTCTGAGGCCAGGTGCAGTGGCTCATCCCTGTAACCCCAGCATTTTGGGAAGCCAAGGCAGCAGGATTGCTTGAGGCCAGGAGTTCAAGATAGTGTAGGCAACATAGTGAGACCACAAGACACTGTCTTCTATAAAAAATTAAAAAATTAGCCAAGCAAGGTGGCTCACACCTATAGTACCAGCTACTTGAGGCTGAGGCAAGAGGACTGCATAAGTCCAGGAGTTTAGGCTGATAGTGTGTTATTATCACACCATTGCACTCCAGCGTATGGAGTGAGACCCTGTCTCTAGAAGAAGAAAGGGACATGCTGAGCCAGGTTTCTAAAATGTTCTGATGCCACATCACAGTTCTCTCTCTCTTTTTTTTTTTTTTGTAGAGACAGAGTCTCACTTTGTCACCCTCAGTAGAGTGCCGTGGTGTCACACTGCTCACAGCAACCTCCAACTCCTAGGCTTAGGCGATTCTCTTGCTTCAGCCTCCCAAGTAGCTGGGACTACAGGTGCCTGCCACAATGTCAGTCACCCTACTAAATCATGAGACCATTTTTTCGTTTCAGTTTGGCAGGGGTTGGGTTTGAACCCAGTACCTCTGGTATATGGGCCTGGAGCCTTACTCCTTTGAGCCACAGGCACTGCCCAACACATCACAGTTCTTAACTATTCAGCTCCATGTACATGAGCAAAGCTGCCCCTAGTCCCACCAGCACTCAACCCACTTACACCCTGGGTCAACATGGTGGTTAGGCTTAAGGATTCTAGTGTTGCTTCTGACACCTGATTATTATAGGTGCTGTGGGTTGAACTGTGTTCCCCCAAAATTTATGTTGAAGTCCTAACCCCTGGTACATGTGAATGTGACCTTATTTGAAAATAGGATTTTTGTAGATTTAATAAAGGTGTAAATTAAGAAATTAAGATAAGGTCACATGGCTCGGCACCTGTGGGTCAAGCTGCTAAGGTGCCAGCCACATACATACACCTGAGTTGGTGG